CCAAGGAGCTGTTGAGCCGCAGCAGCGAGCGTTTTGCAAGCAGGAGGGCCACAGGTGACTGCAGGCTGCCAGGAGGCAGGTGACTCTGGCCTGGCAGCCTCCGGGATTGCAGGGAGTCTGGTCTCTGTGGCTCTCCGCAGTAAAGGGAACTGGCTCTTCCTGAAGACAGGCTGGAGTGCGCTCACGTGTAATTAGAAATGAACAAACCAAGCCATGGTTTGGGGACAGAAGGAAGGTCTCTCTCAAGTGAGTTGTTTGGTTTTCCAAAACGTGTTAGATGTTTGAAAGTGATTAATTTTCCATACGTGCCATCGGAATGAATCCATTGAATTGGTGGATCCATCGTTCCCAGGGCCACTTGCAGGCGGGGAAGCCGGGCGCGTTTGCTCACCGCACGCCCAGTACCGAGGGCCCCCGCACGCGGGTGTGCAGACCGGCATCGCGCGGAGACGAGGCCGTCCTTGCCCTGGTGGAGTTTACTGGGGTGACGGACAGCGGATGAGCAGTGGCCGTCCAAACGGGAGGATTTGCGTGCGCCGGGGGAGTGTGTGAGCAGCGGGTGGGGGTAGATCCCACGGGCCACCTGGCGGTCCCTGAGGACAGCACGCGTGGTTGGAGAGCTGAAACGCGAGGAAGAGCCAGTCCATGGGAAGTAGAGTCAGGTGACTTCAGGTATTAGGAAAAGAGACACAGAGGCGGGCAATGCGGAGGTCTGGGCCAGGAACGAAGCAAGGCCGTGGCGGGAGGTGAGTGTGGATTGGTGGTGGGTGGGGAAGGTCGCTGAGCAGCTTGTCTGGAATTAGGATCGTTCTGAGTGCAAAGAGAAGCCGTGTTGGGCTTTAAGCAGGTGAGCCATAGGAGGGTCTGGGGCTCCTTCGCCCGCAGGCTGGCCGCGGTGTGGGCGAGGGGCCACTCCGCCGGCCACCCGGGCAGAAGGCGAGGGTGGCCCCGTGTGCGTGGAAGGAGGATGGGCTTTGGAAAGGGACCCTCCCTCCGGGACTTCTGATGAGAGGGAAATGGGGACAGGGAGGGACCCAGGGTTCTGACTAAGCAGCTGCTTACAGGCTGTTGCCCTGAGCTGACGGGGAAGGCGGGGCGCGTGTTGGGAGCGGGCGGGGACAGGAGACTGGGATTTGGGAAATTTGGGGGCACGGTGAGCTGACATGCCTCACGGCGGTCAGAGTGAAGTGGAGAAAGGCGCACAGGTCTCTGGCGCTTTGAGAAGCAGCAGCAACGGCTGGCAATGTGTTTGGGGGGGTTTTGTCCATATCCCCTGGAAGGCTGGGGTGTCCCCCCTCCACCTTAAAAAAAAAAGGACCTAAGGACCACTGCTGTAAGAAGTACAGCCCTGGGGAATCAGACGGAACTGTATCGTCTTGTGTTGTACTCTGTGTCTTCGGTCCAATCAAAGCTTCAGAGCCTGAAACCTGCAGCCGGCGAGGAGCTCCTGGCTGCCCGGCGCAGGCGCGGCAGGCTTTCCCGTCTCTGGTGATAACGCCGTTTTCCAAACGTCTGGATTTCACCAGGAGGGCGGGGCAAGAGACCATTGAGAGTAAGGAGCCCATTTTTGCACCACAAAAATGTCACGGGGTTTATAGCAAACATGTCCCATATACCTCGTCACAGTTCCCGGGGCTCCTCCAAAGACACGACTTCACTTTCATCCTGGGACGGTCTTGTGAATGATGCGTGGATGTGACGCCCCCATGTCCTCTGCGTTGTTTTATACCCAACCCGGTCCTGCCAAGAAATCGGTTTCCTTCCGGTTTATGAAGCCAAAGAAAGAGGTTGTATCGGAGTCAGCATTGCTAGTTTGTTCCTGGTGACTAAATTCCAACCTGTTAGTAGACCAGTATTCTTTTCTCCTTAGCACGAGACCACACCGTGTGGCTGTGTGGAGCAAGGAATGTTCTCAGATGCACAAACTCGCCCTCGGGTGTCCCTTTGGGCCTCAGGTTTTGAAAATTGGATAAACTCAAGTTTCTTTAATAATCTAGTTGGGAAAATTCAAACCCCGTTGTCAGAGCTCTAAATGCTTTCTTCCAGATATTGGGAAAATGAGGTCCCAAGAGGGGCTCAAGAGTAAGCCTTGGGTGAATCTGGAACCTGTTAAATGATGGGGATATTGGATCAATAGCTAATATTCGTCAAGCCCTCCATGCTTGTGAGGCCGGAACTATTGTCCTCATTTTCCATCGGGGAAAGGCCCGATTCGTGTCTAACAAGTGAGGCTCACATGCAAATGTAGAACCGAGTGATCTTTTAGAACGCCTGTGCAGTTTCGTCCTTGTCTTCTGCTTAAGTGATTCTGGTTCTCTCTTCAGAAGTGGTACAAGGTTTTCTAGAGAGTGAGTTAACACTAAGCCAAACAAGCTGCAGCAAACATCTTAAGGGGACAGAGTTGCCCCTAGGGTGTGTGGCCCTGGGAAGACATTTCTTCATGGGGTTCCTGTCCACATAAGCGATTTGAGTCATCCCTGGGGCAGCATGGTAGTACCATTCTAGTGGCCCGATCTCACACGATCCCACGAAAATCAAGATCAAAATGCTGCACCAGTCGCCAGGGGCAACTTGCCCTCCAGGACGCTGTTGTAGAGACTGGCCTGGACCCTTATAGGTGCGGGTTCTGGAACTCTTTGGGGCATCTGAGGGGGAGGAATGGGGACCAGCTGGTCTCAGCCACCAGAGGGAGACCAAGGACATTGAAACGTAGGTGACTCCCGTGGCCGGGCCCCATGCAGTGCCCTGTCTGGGCTTGGCATACCTGCCCATATGGTGCTGCCGGTTCCAGGCACTGGAAGGAGGCCTAGAAAATTCCCAGGAAGGCAGTCCAAGCGCAGGGCCGTGGTGGGGTGGGGTGGGGCCATGTCTCCCTGGGGTTGAAGGAGTGGGAGGCAGTTTGAACAATATTAAGACTTTAAAAAATAGCAATTACTCCCAAATCTCCCAGGTGCTGTGGCTCTACAGGGCTGGAAAGCTGTTTTAAAGAGGAAGCCAGCTAAAAAGATCGAGTACTTACAATATCTGATCCTTTTTTGTGGGTTTGAAGGTAAAAGGTGCTTTTTGCAAGATGCTCAAAAAGGGCTGCTTTTGCCTTTTGGCTCAGTTGGCTGTGAGTGCTCTGGGACCCTCTGAAAGTTGGTCTTGAGGCAAACGCCACAGACTTCCTTTCCCTGGATGCCACCTTAAAAAGTTCTAGCAGCGCAGATTACAGAAGAGCTGTGTCGGGGAGAATCGGACAGATCCAGGTTGGCCTTGTGGCCTTGTCACTTTGGGCAGGTGATGCTGCAAGCACAGTGGGATGGTACCCACCTCCCAGGGCTGGGATGAGGAGTAAAGGTGCCCTCGGTACGTGCATGCAGATGACGTTCCTTGCTAGATATGAACCCCAAACGTGAAGGGGGTATTTGAGCAGCCCCCCTCTAGAGAAGACGAGAGACCAAAGTAGCTGTTGCTTTCAACTGTTTTATTGCTAAACTATCATGATACAAGCCGTATAAAAATACTTTACATATAGCAAAAATAAACTACATTAAACTGGAGATTAAAAACATTTGCATAGGAATGTGATGTATTCAAACTCCTTTTAACAGGATTTTCCAAACCTAGGTCTGCCAGCACCACACTGTTGGAAAGACTTCTATTGGTTGGAGAATTATCTTAGGACTGTCAATATTTTCTCCCCTCTTAGGGCTGTAGAGGCCACAGGGGTGAGTGAGGTTCTTTGACAAGATGTCCAGATGTTAAGCTTGGCGGTCCCGATAGCCCAGGTCTGCTCGGGCCAATCAAAATGCTCTAAGTACCTCTCCAGGTGGAAGCAGCACCATTGCTGTCCCTCCCCTCTAGACCCTGAACTGGGGGACATTTGATCAGCCAACAGCTTCGGCATAAAGGTAGGATGTTAACCCTTTCGCTCCCAGGAGCCCCCTCTCACTTTCAGATGGGGTTTGCTTAGGAGGGAACCTCTCTCTCTCACCAACCACCAGAAGAATTTGTTTTTAAACAAACCAAGTTACGATGGTGGTGCTGGCTGTAAGTGAAGGCACTCACAAAAGCTGAGGGAAACTGAGGTTTGCGATCAGTTTCACGTGATACTGCCTTTTCTTAAGCATGCAGCTGGAATGCAGAAAATCACTTGCAGTGCAATTGGCCGGTTTGGTTTCATGAGACTGGGTGCCGGAGCCCTAGGCCTGGGAGACCCAAGGTTAAGAGATGTGTGGGGTCCCTGAAGTGCTGTCCCTCCAGAAAACGAGTTTGGGAAAGGTTTCCTCAGGCTGTCGAATGTCACAACCCTGTGCCTCTTGTAAACACACAGTTGTTAAGTGGACCCCTGATCTGAACAACAGAAAGCACTCGAAAAGGTTTGGGTGATTTTTGTCTTTTTGGGGTTTTTTTTTTGACATAAAACAAATTCAGCCTCACTTTAGTCCAGAGTGACTATTAAAACACATCAGTTTCTGATCTGCCTAAATGTGACAGCCCCTGTCCTAGCCAAGGCCGACTTTACTACTGGATGTAAACAACAAATGCAGTATCAGTGCTTCCCTGTTCTTAGAAGGAACCGCTTCATCCTCAGCTCTGTCTACGCTGGAAAACGGTGGCTAGCCTTTGGATAATGTCGATGGGGGTTACCTACCGGGGTTTGGGTTTGGTCAGCACTGTGAATATCGGCCTGCACTTGCGGTTCTGTGAATATGAACTCTCTGAATCCCATTACAGTACAACACAGGGTTTTGTTGTCAGTGGTGGTTTTTTAAAAAAATCAAAATTGCCTACTAGGTCACTTATTTTCAGGGGGGATCTAGTCACTTTACAATCCTCAGTGACAAGATCCAGCCTCCGGGATGAAGAAAGCATCCTTCTTGAGCAAGAAAATGTGGTTCCTTCTTCCACAAAGCTACCCCCCCCATCCTTCCTGGGATGCTTTCTTCTACCAGATAAGTGATTAACAGGCTCTTAGGTAGGGTTTTTTTTTCCTTTTTGGAGGGGTGGCGGGGGGGGGGGGGTATGGGGAGTGTTCGTTTCCTGGAATGATTAACAAATTTTTCAAGAATACATTATTTCTCTTAAGAAACATCAACATATATGTAAAAAGAGACACTTAAAAAGATTTCTGACCATTTATAAATATTTTCTAATTCCAACAGGGGTGCAATATATTGAAGACAGATAAAAAGCATAAAAATACAGTTAAGAAAATAAAATTTAATATCATACTAATTAATTTGGATTGCTATATATATTATCAAGCAGCGGTATTTTTGTACAATACAGGAAAACTTGTGCCGACTTGCAAACTTTGGAAATATACTACATTCAGCAACATGGTATATCTGTCGAGTGCTACATATTTACATTAACTTGGACGTAGCAAGTGCAAACCTTGACTAAACTGACAACCTTCTGACACGTGCAACACACCCATCTTTACTATTTAGACACTTGTACCTTCTCCTTCTCTTAGAGGATCTTATTGCCTCTTCCCATTCTGAAAATATCTCATGAGCAATTACTCTTGGCAAAATTTCCTCCTGGCATCTGTAACTGACAAAACTTTCTGGATAGCTATCAGTCCCGAATACACTTTCTCTTGCCCGTTTATGTCTCAAATCTAATGCTTTTGTTTCTTTTTCCTTTGCTGTTTGGTATAGTGCTTCCTCTAATATCCAGCTAAGATGTCTTAGAAAAAGAGAGGTTTATTCGTGTGTGCATTATATACACACACATATATATACGTACAGGAGTTTGAGCTACCAGGAAGCCCTTTTCACTAACATGGTTAGAAGATTGATGGAAAATGCGTTAGTCCTTTTTCACCCCGTGGACAATGAGGCTGGGCTAGTTTGCTACAATAGCAGGAAGGCACTTGGATAAAACATTCAGATAACTGAGGAAAGGCCAAATTCCCTCATGTGCAAAAACTGGCTCCTGGCCAGACCAAGTGAGAACAAATCACTCACTAACTACCCATCACTCGTCCCTGGCGAAGTCAGTTCTTTAGGTAAAGCTGCTAGTATAAGGAACTTTCTTTGTTAATGAGGAAGTGTTTAGCATCCCAGTAGCTCCGTGGCAGAAGTCAACTTCTTACTGACATTGTGTTTATTTAAAAGAGAATTTTGCTAACCTCTGTACTTGGAAATTAAATGCTAGGTATTGACCAAAAGGTTACGTACAAGCGCAAGGGCGCGAACCGGGGCATTTTGTCTACTCCCTGGAGTGCCGAACACACCTGGCCCCGACTCGCAGGAAGGTTTTACCTCTGGGTATAACCTGGACAAGAGAAAACCCCACAGTGGGCAGTGAATGGCCGTGACTTTCATCTTGGGCCTTCTGTCTAGCAGGCTGGACTGAGAAATCACTCTGAGTGTGAAGAGTATTTTGAGGAGTATTTTCACTTTGATTACTGGGGAAACCACCGAACGGCTGAAGATGAAGCCCCAGCTTGTCCTGGGGTGTCTGCAGTAAATGCAGACAGAAACACACAGCTGTGCGATTAAAAACTCATCTGCCAAGAACCCTGAGGGTTTCGGTTGCAAAAATTGCACCAACAGAGGAAGACTGGTGAGGCCTATGGGTGCGTTCAGTGGAGAAAAAGAGGTGGGGAAAATCGCATCCCACTGGTCCGAGCAGAGCTCATTCAAGCCAAGGATGCATCGGAGTAGACGCGTTGCTTCTATCAGAACGCGCCCGCCAGTGCAGACAGGTCTCTGGGGCCAAATCCTGAACTCTGCTTTAAACTTTGAGTTTAGGGAAAAGAGGGAATTCAGCCCTTTTCCTCTATATTGGTAAAAACCCGCTTACAGAAGCACTTTGGCTGTTTTGCTTAACAAAAATACCTGTACTTTTTTTTTTTTTTTGCTGTTGATTTAGCTTTTCTGCCATTCCTCCTCAAAATTCAATGCACATGCTTGAGATTCTTAACTACTTTATGGGAAAGCGCTCTGGCTGTTAGGAAGAAAGCAAGCGGGAGCTTTGAAAAGCATCTAGGTCCTACAGCGGCAGCAGACCGGCACTTGCTCTGTGACCTGGGCCACCCTCCCCAGTCTGTGGACACTGCTCAGTACGGACCCCGCGCCCCAGGGGTTAAAGAGCAACTCGATCGCTAGCCGCCTCTGCCAGCCTTTCGAAGCAGAGAAAAAATTAAAAATAACCAACGTGTACACGTCATAACTTAACGCCAAGAAGTTTTAACAGGTGATCTTGTCTGGGCAAGACAGTCTTGTTTTGGAATGAGAATTCAAAAATAAAGCTTTAGCTGTTGGCCCGGGTGCAGCATGAACTAGGCGACCTCCAAAACCGACAGTTGGGTCTCTGCCTCTACCAAGAGGGTTTGGGGTTTCTTCAGCCTGTTAGCTGGACTCTTGGAGCACGTTCCTTTGGTTGCTCTGAGAATGCCTTTCCTTCCAAAGGTCAGCAGCTGCATCTGTGACCTGGAAAAATGAGTGCGAGGGCTGGGGTTTGATCACAGCACCCACGCCTTCCGTCCCCAGCCCCCCACGCTCCAGCCACGAAGTTCCCGGGTGTGTTCCGGTGTCCTGTCTGGTGCAGAACGTGGTCTCGGTCAGCAGGCACTTCATGTTCGGACGTGAGGTCAGCCGGGGTGCTCTTTGGGATGTGCGACGAAATCAAAAGGTGTTGACAGAGGCGGCGAGCTCCTCAGCCAAGAGCCAAGCTTCGTGCCCCACCCGAGCTCGTTCCGCGCGTGGACTCCGGGCCGGGAGTATGAGCAGAAAAGGAGACAGCGGCGGGGGCGCCAGGGGTCAGATACGGAAGGTGTCTTGCTATAATGGCTGCTTCTACGTCTGATTTCGTGCGGGAGGTCCTGAAAACTCCTTCCTGATGATTTCATTAACTACGAAAGAAAAAGGGTGGGGGGAGAGTGGAGTGAGTGAGAGGGCACCAAAAACACACATCAGGCTCACTTTCTACAGACTTCCACCAGGCTTTATAAAATACTTTTGTTTCTTGTGATAAGTTTGATCATTTTTAACTTGAGAAATGCCTTTCTAAGTTGTGATTTTTTTTTTTTTTTTGGACAATAGTATTTTGTGCTATAAATCTGTTAGTGAAAATTGCTCAGATGGGAACTTTTTCAAATCTTTTTGTGGCAGAAATGGATTTGGGTCATA